TGTTGACTTCTTTCCCTCCGCTTCAGTCGCCTGCGATCATGAAGCTGCTGGTCCGTCCATACCGTCCTGTCGACAGGGATGCAGTGCGTGCTCTCTTCAGTTGGGGCATCCGGGAGCACATCGTTCCGTGCTTTAAAAACAACATGAGCTCCCCCCTCTACCTCGTCATCACCCTGGCTCTGTGTGTGGTTGGATACATCGTCGCCTCTGTGTTCGGGGCTGTTGTTTTACCTGCTCTCTGGATGAGCCTCGTCTATTACAGCGGTTATTACATATACGATGGGTTTGTCAGAAGGAAACTCGTGACAGACATGCAGGAGATTTCTAGGAACTATATGAGCAGACCCGATGACTGCCTTTGGGTGGCTGAAGCTGAAGTTGACGGGAGGGTTCAGATCCTTGGTATGGTGGCTGTTAAGGGCCAGCAAAATGGAAAAGAAAAGTGTGGTGAACTGCTCAGGATGATCGTTTCACCCACGTGCAGGCGGATGGGGTTGGGTCACAGGTTGGCACAAACTGTTGTTGATTTCTGTAGGGAACGAGGCTTCTCCAAGGTGATGCTGGAGACCAGCTCCATCCAGAAAGCTGCTGTGGCGCTGTATAAAAAAATGGGATTCCGCCACATAGTCTTTCAATCCAAACATGATTTTCCCTTGTGGATTGTAGCTTTGTCTAATGTCAAAGTTTTAAAGCTGGAAAAACAACTTTAGGCCTGAAATCATTCCAATCACCTGATGTGACATCAGTGTCATCTTCTATTAATCTGTAATTAAAGATTACATTAAGATTGAAATGATGCACCATGAGCACTGAAATTAAATAATTTTGTACCTGTTTTTCACAATGCATAAATAAAATGAAACCGTTCACTGAGGCTTTGTGTGGTGGAGTGTTCTGTTCAGAGACTAGTGTATAATAACAGGATGGATGGCCCTGCTGCCAGTCAGGTGGCACTCACTCTTATCTCTCATCATGGTTTATCTCATGCTTTTGTTGAAATAAGATGAGAATTGAAGTAGACCTTGAATCATTTTAACAGGATATGAAAGCCAGGCATCAAGATCGTAATCTGAGTGAGATCAGCTTGGTATTCACATCGACCAATAGGGTTGCATTAGTTAAAACAGATTTTCACATTAAAAAATATAGTCTATTAGATCTCCTGATTTAAGTGTGGTTTTGTAAAAAACACTTTGTAATTTTTTTTACGTGTAGTTTTGTAAAAAACACTTTTTTTATCATACAGTAAACCAAACTACGTAGGTGAAATACAAAACGTTATTTTCCAATTATTTAAAGTTCATTTATATTTTATTTGTTCTTTAAAACGCACATTTAACACCAAAAATACTTGGGGTTGGGGGGTGAAGTGAGGTACGTCAGTACAAAAACGATGACTGAAAACGCTTAATAATCTATTGTACGCACCTTTGGATCACTGCCAACACTGACCAAAAGAGGGCACCATTTGCTCATTTTGCATAATTGTCACTAAGTAGAAAAACAGCTTCAGCTGTAATCACAGATGACGTGCTGTATCAATAAATCGATTAGAAATATGCATATACAGATAAACCTTATTGTACTTTGGGCCAAGGTTTTATTTTACAGATTATGAAGCGATCGATTAGAAATATACACATACAGGTAAACCTCATTGTACTTAGGGCCAAGGTTTTATTTTACAGATTATGAAAGTTTTCCTTTACTTGTGTATAAACTGAATACTGTACATGATTCTATTCTATTCTATACGATATATTCGGTCCCCTAGTGGTACGCAAAAGCGTTGCAGAAGGACTGTTTGTACCGTATTAACATTTTTAGGTTTAAATCCTGGTTTAGAGTTGTTAATTGTTTTTTTTTTTTTTGGTAAATGTTTTATGATATTAGTTTTCCAAATGCAGATGAATATTTTATTTCATTACAGTTGCATGTTGCTGCTTTAATGTTTTCTTTACATAAAGTCTGTTCATTGTTATTTTAACAATTTAAGACAAGGATGAAATGGTCCAGAATATTCTCCAGAATATGTATTAGATGTATTAGACCTGTTTGCAATTATTTTTTACATTTGTTGTCTGCATGTTTCTTTGTAAATGTATTTACCATAAATAATAATAAATATGAAACCTATAGGTCATTTTAATCAAAGCATTTAACAGCAGGGCACTGGATGCCGACTGTGTAAAAATGTGCATTTTGCATTGGAATTTTAGGGACCCTGTAACTATCAAATCCATTTGAGCAACCACACGTTTTAAAATCGGAACAATCCCACGATGCTCCACCAAACAAAATTGTCTCAAAAAGTATATATACTAAAATATAATGATGTTCTAAGTCCATCAGTTAGTTAGTAGTAAACCTGCGCCTGTTTTGTTGAACAAAAGGCTGATTTACCCACAGGAATTGAAGAAAGACATGCATAAAGATCTCCTTCGACAGCTCTGCGGTTAATTAGTCAAGGTAAAATAAAAACTTTGTTGTCGCTGTGTTCTGAGACTACAGCAGTGAAGTTGTTCACATCCGTGACACTCAAGGAGATGCTACATCACGGTGACACAAACACTCTTTGATCTCGACGCCTCTCATCCCTGTACCCACAAAATCAACACACAACTCTTGTTTTGAGTTCACTTCTACACATGTTTCAGGTGAATGACACTTGGCAGCTCTCCAAAGCAAAGAGTGTGATTGGGTAAAAGCAAAGGTAAAGTCACCCCTGGCGGTGTTATAACACTTGGCAGTGTTTTTGTGTGCTCTGGTCGTCCGTCAAAGGCTCCTGAGTTCAACAGTTGTGAAAAAGCCAAACACGGTGGCAATCGTGAATCTGTGTCAGTTGTTGAAGAGGCTTCGGGACAAACATATCAAGGTTTATACTGTTAAAGGCCTTGAGTGTCAACACACACACTGGCTGTTTACACTGATTTAACTGTTTTCACTCTGTACTTTTCCAAACAGGTACATCTTGTGATCAGAGGAACCGAGCGCTTGTGTTGTGCTCCTCACGAACATCACATTGCAGAATAAAATGAGAAAAAAGCTAAATAGTGTGAAATGATAATAAATAAATATAAAATATTATGGCGTAAATGTGATGATACATACTTGTGGGATTCATGATTTGCCATTCCTACACTGGGAATACAGATATTCTCCTCTGTCACCAAGAACCTAATAGCATAAAAATCCACAAAAAGTTTGTTCATATAAACTAGGGTACAGAAGGCTACAGGTTCGAGTCCACCAGCTGTAACCCTTAAAGCTGCCCACTGTTCACTTTGGTGATGGGTTAAAGCAGAGGTCACATTTGGTTGTGTTCAGTGGTGTGCACAATGACAAGGAGTTTACTTTCCTATAGACTTTTCATATATATATACTTTCCTAATAGTTATACCTAAACTCTCCGAGGTTCAGTAAGCCCTAAATGGATAACAAATAAATTGTACAGAAAAGAAAAGACAACATTTAAAATAGGTAAAGTGAAAAAAACAAATATAAAATGTTTGGACAAATCAAAGGAGAGAAGAGAAAAGAAGAGGTGTGGAGAAACCTTAAAACCATTCTTTCTTAAAAACCATTCTTTCTTAAAAATGCCAACACAAGGATACTTGTAATACACACACACGCGCGCGCGCGCGCGCACACACACTCATTTGTTCAACCAAAGGGAACAGAGGGTAAGGGTTTCACAACAAGCTACTAGTAACCTGGCAAACATCCCTGAATTGCACAATCAAACAGGACTAGTGCCCAGGTACCCTCACTAGAACACAAACACACACACACACACACACACACACACGGAAACTGCCAAACTGTTTGATAGTAACTCGATCAGGTCATGTTGACAGATCAACCCTTCCTTGATAAACAGACACGCAGCTCCGTTCTCCACAGGTCCCTGACTTTGTCCGTGGGCCGCGGTAGAGGACACTGCCAAGGGCAAACAAATAAACAGGCCGCTGGATGGATGCGCTTTGGAACATACGAAATTAAAGTCGATCTCATTTCTTTTCTGTTGTTGTTGCTAAATTTTGAAAGGGATAAAGAACTGGAAAGAATGTCTTTTTTGACCCTGAATATTTATAATATTTGTTTGTACCACACAGCTGTAAAATATAGGTTTAAAACTAATAACTGCTTAAACTGGAAACAGGTAATTGAAGATAGACATATTTTTGCATGGTAACAATGGTAAAAAGAGCTAACTGTACTGTAATATTCTCGCTCTTTTCCTGATTGTTCCTCCTCTGTCTTTGCCAATACTGTCCATGTGACATTGATCTAAACTTCACGTTTCACTACTTTTATTTGTTATTTGAAAATATTTTATTGTATATGATTGAAGATTAATAATATACACTTAGGGTTCTCTGGTGGAAATACACTAAGGGAATAGAGTAGAAACTGTGTTTGCTGCTCTGAACCTCACACATCAGTGATCAGCTGGTCCATTTATACTGTCCACAGTTTTGTCACTTATTTGTCTTATATCACTTGACACCACAACATCGTTCACTTTTTTCTTCAACAATAATAATGTAGACAACACGCTAGGACAGTGGGTCTTAATTATTTTCTGTCATGCTCCCCCTTGGGGACAAACATGTTTTAACACCCTCACCCTCCGACCCACACCCCTGCAAATTGAAATATTACTGACAACCTGATAACATGTATATTTTTATCTGTAAAAAAAACACTATGAGTTGCTGCCACCTAGTGACTGGAGGCATCATTCAAGCATTACAGCAGTGGTACACTTATGTCCAGTGGGCCATATTCCGTTGGAAGTCCCTCACACCCCCTGACACCTCACCGTGCCCCCCAGGGGGGCCCGCCCCACTATTTGAGTGTCAGTATGTCAGATCAAAAATGAAAATTGAACTTTTTTTTCCTAACACTTAACTTGGCACTCCAGACGCCGCTCTGCTGGAAGTCCACAGGAATGACAGCCATTTAACCCCAGAGGCCTCGGGGAGCTTAGCTTAATGCTAACCAGAGACATAGGAAGTTCCCTTACAGTAATTACTCACATTACAGGAAGATAATATTTACCACCCAATCAACAGTCACTTAGACATTATAAAGAAAAATAAATTAACCAGCAGTAAAACACTTACAGCCTGTTTTTGTTTTTGTTTTTTCTCGTCTTTTCCATCCAGGGCCAAAAACATCACAACAAGATCAGAGTCCTGCAGGAGGAGACCTTGAGGAGGTGGTTCTGGGAGTCAAATCAATGGCGTCAAATGAAGTACAGTAGCAAAAACAGAGTTAGGAAAGAGGGAGAGATGGGTACAAACACACACACACACACACACACACACAGGTTTGTGTGATTACGCACGGAGGGGTTAACGATCAGATGGGCGGCCTCATCCGTGTAATAACATCTGTACAGAGGTCACTCACTCTGTGTGGCCCCGCTGGCCCCCGATGATCATCCGAGCAGGATGCACAGTGAGCCTGAACCCACGCACACACACACACTGTACACATGTGCTTCATACGGCAGCAGAGAAAAACAACAAGTCGGAGGCGGCGCTTTAACATCTCCGCACTGACTTCCTGTCTCCTTTAGAGGGGATTTCAAATGTTTATTGCCGGCTCATTGTTGACGTTCCCTCATTCCGTCGCAGCCTCAGGTCAGTGGGCAGTGATCCATACCATTCTATTCTATTATAACTATTATATTTTTATTTTTTATTTTTTTTATTTTACTTTGTGATTGTCTGTAAAAGAACGCCCCCTACCTTCTGGATATACTTCCAACTATTGTCGTGGCCCCTAACGTCACAGCTAGTCAAAACAACTTGTTTCTGCCTCACACCAATAAACAGACTCACGTGATCAGAGCTGTATGTCCAG